TTTCCATGTGAAATGCTGGTTAGCTTAGCCTTTATTTTCCATCTGGAGAGCCTTAACGCTCTTGAAAGAATTGTGGTAGTTGCAGTTGTATCTACATTAGCTTTATAGCTTGTGTCAGGAAGGTACTTTTGAAGTGAAGCTCCTGATTGCACCTGCCTGCTGTACCTTGCTTTGCACCATGAAACGAAGGTTGAGAGTTGGATTAAATTGGGATGAAAGTAAACTCAAAAATATTCTGCCTACAGCTAATACGCATTCAGTCCTTGGGACCAGACTACAACTTGTCTGGTACCACACCTGTTTCACCTTCATGTATAGAGTGCGGATGTCAGTTCCTCAGCATCAGCTGTTTTTCTGTGCAGATTTTGTCTCACTATGTTATCCTACATGTTCCTTTAGATTAGCCTTTAATAGAGATCAGTTCCTTGATCTTGTAGCCAAGCTGACTTGCAAAAGTCCGTGAATCAAGTGTGGGAGAAGTAAAAAGTTTTTGTTTACATTAAAAGCTATCTGGTGTGCAAACTCACTTTGGTACCTTTGGTTCTCCTGACTGCTATATAAGTCTTATGCGGTGTTTAGATTCATCTTGGTGCCCTAAATGAGAAATTGTATTTCACGCTTCCATCAACACAAGGCTTTTGGACACTGTAGACCGCAGGTGTGGGAGAAGACATTTGTATCACATTAAAGTGAGAGTGAGAGTCACACCACTCCTGCTTTGCTTGTTCAGAGCAGAGCTGGGAATTGCTTACTTTTGTTCCCATGTGGAATTTGTTTATATGGTAGAGAGGAAAGGCAAATGTTTCAACATTTTTTTTACCAAGTACACTTAATCTCTCGTGAATAACCTTTCCATCCCACCAGCCACCTACGGGAGAGCTACACTTCACTAAAAGATTAGTGTATTGTAGTAAGAAATAAAGCATTTGTAAGCAGTGACAGAGGATTCAAAATAATTGGGTTTTATGCTTCATTAATTCTTCTTGCTTTTCTGTTATCACTTTGTGTAACCTTTTACAAGTAGCAGGATTCATTAGTTGAAGATTAAAATTCTCAATTGCCCACAGAAAAGAGGTGGGAAACAAGTCTTCATCTGCATCTGACATACCTGTGATTTGAGCTAAAAGGGCTATATCTAGAAACAAAGCTGAGTTTTCATATTTATTCAGGGTTTGGCCTATTTTCTGATAGTGCAAATAGACAAGCTTTTTTGCTATTTGCATTTTTTGTAGCTATGCAGTGGTGATTTTCATCTTCTTGTCTTCATAAAATGCAAGCTACACAAAAACTGCTGTCTGTGCTGAACTCTTTGAACTCTGTCCTGCTGTAGAAGAACAGTCAGATGCTGTCAGCTTTTACAGTGTTGAATTTAAAGATTACAGCTATTGTAAGGTTTTTTTGGGGAAGCGCTAAACACTCAGCTTTCCACCTTTGAAAAGAACATTTAAAACAGTAGCTAATGTGCATCTGGGTAGAAAGACATGTGGAAAGTATCTTCAACTAAAAGAGCAAAAATTTTTAGGGGAAAGACATTTGGTAAATGTAGCAATACTCCACTTTGCAAAATATCTTGTGCTTTTTCTGTTTTACAAGGTTTCAAGCTTCTCATGCCTATTGTTTTAGCCATTGGGATTGTGATCTTCAGCTTCTGACTGCAAATACAAAATACAGACAAGCATGCAAGGTTGTCATGTGGCACAATCCTGCAGGAAAGCTGTAGCTGTGACCATCAGATTCACCTAAGCAGGTGAAACAGATGATGATGATCATTTCTGGGAATGTGTCTTGTGCTGCTCTATAGCAGTGCTGAAAGATGACACAGGCAGCATTTGAAAAGGGCATCGTCTGGACTGAAAGCTAGAAGGAGGCTGGCTGCGGTACAGGCAGTGAATTTCCAGGAACGTCTTTTTCGCTTTAATGTAGCTGATGTTTGCCAGTTTTTGTGCCCACATCCAACTACTCTGACTGCATGATTGCGTTCCAGGATGTGATATATGCAGAATGTGTGAATATACGTAGAATCCAAAAAGGATGGAGTTTGTGCTGTTTTTCTAATGTGACTTTTTTTTACAGGCACTGAGGTGTTTCCATGCTATAGGTCTGCCTTACCAACACTCTGATGCGGTTTTCTGCTTGGATGTGCAGCCTGTTAGTTGCTCGAGCATATCGTTTAACACAAGATTTGTGAATCTTGTGTTGCCGGGTTTCAGACTCTCCTGAGGAGAGTGTATTTTATCTCTGGTCTACATGAGAGGAATGCACCATAGTTCAATTGCAACTGTCACACAATTAGGAATGATTGTAATACAGCAGGCAGTCTAATGATTATAATCTCATTAGGCCTTTCATAGTTGTAGCTGCGTTTTTTTTTTTAAATGTAAGGTTAATGGAGAAAACTTCATATTTGTTATAAAACTAAAATACAGTATTTGGTTTTTTTGGGGAGGCTGTGAGACATTGCTTAGAATTAATCCTAGAGGAATTGCCATTTACTGGGGACACTTAGTGATTTAAGGATACAGAACACATTTTATGCTTTGGCATATCAATGTTGATTATCATCTCAGCAAAGCTTGTAACTGGTCTTCCACATCCAGCACAGCTACCATCACAAGAAAACAAGGATCTTTGAGGTATTGATTTCAGGAGGTGAAATGCTTGCCTCCTGTGAGTTTCAAAAATTAAACCATGTCTGTAGACTTTTGACACCTCAACCCCAAAATT